GGTTTGGGCCCTATTTAAATTCCTTATGGACCTTGAGGTTGCCCCTTCATCAGCCTCCGTACCCTAAGAGCTTATCCCAAGAAATCCTAGCATTTCCTTGTGTGCTCTTGAGCCTTTGAAGTAAACTTTTGGTGTTTTGGTGCGTTGTGAAGAAGTAGGAGTTTAGTGATTAAGCATTTGTTGGAGTGGATCTTGAAGATCAAGAACCTTCATCATTTTGGCATGTCCCAGAAGGTATAAAGTTTCAAACTTGATGTTTTATCTTTTAGACCTAGATAACTTGAATTTTTGGCATATTTTGGTCCCTTGAGTTGTTCTTGTGAGTATAAGATACTCCATAAGTTTAGGATCTTAGTAGTTCTGAGGTCCCTTGTGCATAAAAATAGTAGCTTTATGGGTTTAACTCAACCATGCAAAGGTTGGTGTTAATTTTATGTGGATAAAGTGTTAAAGTTGGTTTTTAGGGCTTATTAAGCCATTCATAAGCTTAAAACTTCCAACATTATGGATTAAGACCTTTTATTAGAGTAGATCTGAAGTTTAAACGAAAAGGTCTTAAGGGATTAAGCCATCCAATAAGGATTGGCTCATGGACCAGTACACCGGACGTACTTCCTTATACGTTGCATGTATTAGGTTTGAACCCCGTTAGCCCCTTGTTCGCGAGTTGTACGTTGGACGTACCCAGCTAGTACGCTAAGTGTACTCATCAAGGACCATTTTTAGGTTTTTGGCTTTAGGCCACTTTTGGAATCTAGGTTTTGGGCTCTTTTTGGGCCGAAAGTTTTATTAAGTCAGGCCATTATTAAACCTTAGGCCATTACGGATTTGGACCATATTTGGGATTCGGGTGTTTTTAGTTTTGGGCTAAGGTTTATTGGGCCAATTAAAGGGATGGATAACATGATCTTTTACCTTAGGAGTCAGGGTTATTGAATTAAAGTCTCGATTATGGTTTATGACCTAATTCTTAATTAATGTATTATTTGATTGATTAGTGCGAGGATTTTATGGTTTAGTAGCCCGAGCATCTATTTGTTTAGCAGCAGATCGAGATGAGTTTGCTCACTATACTATAGGACACTAGGGATTGTATGTGCTTCTAGTCGTTGTGACTCCTGATGTATGTCGGTATGCCTATGTGCCTGTTTGTTATATGTATGTAGGGGTGAAATAGACCCGGGGGTGAAATAGACCCATACGGTTCAAAAATACTGATTGAGTTGAAATAGAATTGGGGGTGAAATAGACCCAGTACAGCCTTGTATGGATATATGATTTGAAATAGACTCGGTGGTGAAATAGATTTGGGGGTGAAATAGACCCGATACAGCCTTGAGATGATGTATATGTTTGGTATGTGGTATTTTGGATAACTCACTAAGTTTTATGCTTAGGGTTTTCAGTTTATGTTTCAGGTACCTCTGGTTCGAAGGGGGAAGGGCTCGGGATGATCACATCGCACACACCATGATTTTCTGCCTTATTTGAATCTGATGTATTTCTGAATGATTGTTGTCATACTTTGATCTCTTTTTTGATTTTTATAAACATGGTGGTTGATTGTTTTATTAATATAAAAATGAAATTTTTGGTTATAAATTTTGACAAGTTACATAAAGGTTCTAGCAGAGTAACAATAGAGTATAATATCTATTATTTTATTTGAGCAGAATAACGATATAAAATATAAAAAATATTGATTTTATAGCAAAATGATAATGAAGAAATAATATTCATGTACCCCCCCCCCCCCCCCCCCAACAATATTTGAAAAAAAGTTGGAAAAATGGGACGTGATACTCACCCTTGTAGCGTGGTTCTATCAGTAATTTCTTCCTGCCGAAAAGTGGTCAGATACTCGGGAATGCTCAGTCTGGAAAGAAAAAGACTAGTGAATATAAAATAAATAAATTTCTAAGCTTTTTTGGAGGAATTTTCGGAGAAAGAATAAGAGAAAGAAGCAGATTTTGAGTGAGAATCGAATGGAGCAGTAGCAGCAATTTATATGTGGAATTGGGGACAGCCCAAGCGCACGTCGCAACCTGGCTACATGGTTCATGCTATCTACTAACACATGGCCAATATGTTGTGTATGCTCTACTAGAACGTTGAGCGCATTGCACAATGCACGAAGGGCACACGTAGAAAACGTTGATTTTTGTAAATTGCGTAACTTCTTCATATGAGTTCTGTTTTCAATTTTCTTTATATCCATGTGTAGCTATCAACAAGTACTGCAACTTTCGTTCAGGTTGTATTGGCTAATTTTGAAATTAATTTTAGCCCTAATTTTTATACGATTATATGATTTTGCAAAAATTATCTCTTTCGTATGAACTTCGATTTTTGCATCCTTTTTCTCAAAACTCTTATCTTGAGGAATACTCTGATTCTTTTTTTGGTAACTTTAACTAAAAGTCAACCATTCACTTCGTAGTTTTTGACGTTGCACATTCTTTATGCGTGATTAATTTTTTTTATCTTATAAAAATCATATCTAATTTATACGAGGTCAGATTTTTATGAAATTTATATTTTCGGGATCGGGAATATATTTTTTGTTCACTTATTTATATGGATTACGGATGATTTGACTGATTTTCTTAGCTAATTTAATACAAAATCTTGTATTTTATCATAAATTGATGTATACTACGTATTAAATCTATTATTCTTGACGATTATCACTTTTTAGCGGTTAACGACCGGTAACAATTTTTACATTTGTTACAATATGCTCAATCAAATGTTCATGTGTTGAGTTTCTAGAAAGGTCCATAACCACATCAACTAAAATTCCCCTTTCCTACATTTTTATTTTTATTTTTACCAAAACTCTCCTTTCATTCAAAAAGGTCAAGAACCTCATAAAGCTAATTCGAACTATCAAAAAAAACATTTTTCTCATTCCATTTAATTTGTGTTCCCACCCAGTTAATATATTTAAAAAGTTCCAGATCTAAAAGCTATTGAAGAACTCATAATCTCAATATACCTATTATCACATTTAAAATTAAAACATTCCAGTTTGAGGAGAACTAGAATCTCAAAACCAACATATATGCATGAATCTAATACATTTTTAGAAAAAACCTGATTTCAAGTTGATTACTTATTTACCTTCTAGTGGAAGATCATTTGAGATTCTTGATGTGTTGCACGGGTATGTGCCTACTTCCCCCCTTAAGTACCTCAAGCTTTGCACCGAGCTTTTTCTTTTCATCACCATCCACATTTTTGTAACACTTGATTTTGATTGCTTCATTATTCGGGATTGTGGACCGATCATCAGTTATCATAAGGCTTAGGGCCTTAGGGAAGAAAGTATTTGGCCCTTTTGGATGTGGGTATTATAGATTAGATAATCCAAGAGTTCGATATTGTTGTAGAGCCCAAGAGTATATTCGTAATTTGGGAAGTTCGGGTCTTTATGAATTTTGGGTTCTTGTTAGGGAGGTTTTAAGGTGGATGTGAGTTGTTAGAAGCGTAGGGTTTCTCGTCACCTTTTTGTGGATTTAAAGTTCTTCGGAAACGGACTTAGAATGAAGAAGTTAGGGGCAAGTGAAGTTTTAGGGTTTTAGAGGTTCAATAAGTACATGGGGCGTACTCATTGTGAATGCGGGGCATAACAAGTAAATGGTCGTGGATGGTCCTTGAGTATGTCGAGCGTACTAAGGGGTACACGGGGCGTACTACCTTCAGGACCAAACCCTAATTTCAGAGTTTTACCCCTATATAAGCATCATTTTATCCTTCCTTTGGGCATTTTAAGTAAGCCACCACCCCCTTTAGTAAACATTGAAACCCTAAAGTGCCTTGAGTGAGTTATGGAGCTTGGAATAGGGTTTATGGTGGCTTGTGTAAGAGAAGAATAAGGTTGAAGACTCATTTCTTGGAGAAGAGCTTGTAGATCTAGAAGTTTCTCATCTTTTCCAATCAATTAAAGGTAAAAAGCTTTGATCTTGTCATCTCTTTGGTTGGATCTTCTTTTGGGTTGTTTATGGTCATTTTAGCCTCTTTTTGTTGGTCCTTATGAGATAAGGTTGTTTTAGAGGCTTGATCTTGTAGATCTAGACGTTTTGGGAGTCCAAAAGGCATAAAAATGTGATATTTATGCTTTATTTGGACTCATGCATGTGTTAAGACCTTTCATTAAGCTCTTTTGAGCTCTAGAGCCCCATTAAGCCATGCATGCATGTAAAGTTGCCAACTTTACACGATAAGTCATCCATAGGAATCAAATTTAAGAGTTTAGAACAAGGAATTAAGTGGTTAAGTGCTTAATGGAGAAGATTGGGGTTCAGGGGAGTACACTGGGCATACCTATCTGGTATATTGTGCATACTAGCCCCAAAGGGTGTATGTTAGGCATACCAGCTGAGTACACGGGGGGTACTTGGCCTACTTGATTTTTTCTTGTTTGTTGACTTGTTGGTTATGGATCTTTGACTAGAATTTTGACTAGGGTTGAGTTTTGGATATTTTAGGTATTTTAGGATATTGGGCCTTCTCGGGTTAGGTCCATGACGGGTTTGGTCACAACTAGATAATTGGGCCATATTTGGGCTTTAGGTAATTAATAAGATTTTGGGCTTTCCGCTTTTGGGTTGTTAGGTCAATTATTGATTTAACATTTGTATTTTGTTAGTTGGCGCGAGGATTATCTGGTTTGATGGTGCGAGCAGTTATTGGAATATCAGCGGGTTGTAGCTTGCCACACCCGCAAGCCCATCGGTAAACATTTTCAACCATATTCCGATCCTGTAGAGTTGTAGCTTGCCACTCATTCCATTCAATACTTTCCTAAATCACAACATGTATTTGAACTTTAAACATATAATATTATAATACATGTCAAACTTTATATTCATAATAATTATTGGTTATAAACTTATAATAGATTAAATAAAGCACCTGAATATGTATATGTTCTCCAGAATGGAAGGGATTGTTTTCTGTTTGAAGAATCTTGGGAAACAAACGGCATCCTTGAAAGAGATGATCAATTACAGTATTGTTTGTGCTTTCTAAACAGGAATATATTATACTCTCGATGTGATGATGCAAATCATTATTAAAAGGGTACCTAGGAAAATTTAACAATTAACTAATTAGATTTAGATCAGGGTCAATTTTTACATTTTAGTAATGTAGTTGTGGCTTACTCAACAAGTCACCTGAAACATTTGAATAATCAATACAATGTTTTTGTAAAGCATGAAAAAATGAAAATCATATGCATAAAACTCACTGAATTGAGGCAACGTTGCTCCTACAGTTTTTTGATTGACTTGAACAGGTGACTCTTATACATGATGCCCACGAAAACAATAAAATGGAGGTGAATCATCCAATTCCAATGCATGACCAAAAACTGGGAGAGAGAAAACCATATATATATATATATATATATATATATATATATATATATATATATATATATATATATATATATATATATATATATATATATATATATATATATATATATATATATATATATATATATATATATATATATATATATATATATATATATATATATATATATATATATATATATATATAGTCATTAAACATAAATTATAATATATGAGAGGAATGAAGATATTAACCTTGAGGTAGAAAGTTTAGAGGCAAGAGGAGATGATGTGTTTCTAGTTATAGCACATAAAGTTTCTGTTGCGTTTGAATGTACTTCAAGAGAACTCTGTAGTCATTATTTAGATACAATCAATCAATATTAAATCATGTAAACATATAATATATAAGTACATATATCAAATATGAAATTGTAATTGTACTCACTGATGGACTTAATTTATCCACAATCATCTCCAGTAGATTGCTATCTGTTAACCACTGCATCACATCCACAGAACCGAGATACATATGATCATCAGCTCCAACAAGTCTTACCAAGACCTGTGTTTAGAAAAAGGACAAAGTAATCATTTACTTTTAAGTTAAAGAAATCATAAAGCTCAAAGTAAAAGTGTAAAACAGTTAATGCTGGATAGAAAATTTACTAACCTCCATGATTGATGTAATTCCAATCAAATCAACCAGCTGTTGGAGTACATTTTGATGCACCTGTTGACATATATAAAATTATATTCAAGAATGAAAATAGAAGCTGTAATATTCAAGTAGAGTATCAAACAAGATAGAAATTAAACTACACCAACATGTATTGATAAGTTTACTCACTTGAACATAATTCCTAAGTGGAATTGTCTTCCACAACATGAGGCACATCACAACCTATTATATAGTAGAATATATATAACAGTTACCCAAAATGCCCTTTCTCCGATTCATCTTACAATAAATGATAATATGTATATTCAATGAAAAAAGCACCTAACTTTAAAGAACATACCTTGCTGAAGTAACCAGCCAACAAAGCACTATAGGAACGGGTTGGCTCCAGGAATGAGAAAAGTAGATCCATTAGCTGAAAGTTTTGGGTTTGAAGAAGGAAATCATATGAGTGAATGTAATAAAGAATGTATTTATGTAAATATAGGGAAGGGTGCTCAGATCACCAATTGCTCATTCTCTTCCATCTGAGCCCTAACTCTTCTAATCTCTTGTGAAACTGTCTCCATTCTCTACAGACAATAACAATTCAAATTTGAAACATGAATATTTCTTCACAGACAGAACACATAACTAGTAACTTACATATAAGAATTGAAAGCAAGAGAAAATATTAATGTACGGTGGAAGTGTTGTTGATTGAAGATCCATCGAGAATTCTTGATGTTCTAGGATTGACTGCCTTGGGCTTCGGTTCAGTTGTGATAGCACGAGTCACACCATTCCATCGCTTAACCCTAACAATGCTCAGAAAGGAATGGCAGCCGACGGTGAATCTGGTACTGCAATCGTTAGAAGCTAACGAGCGAGAGGCTACTTCCATGGCAGAATTTGCGAGACTTTCCATGGGCATAGTGAAATCGTTACACTCTTACCAAAATGCCCAAATAGTGAGTTAAATACATGCGATTAGGGAAAGAAAGATGTGAAAGCGTAAAAGGAAAGACTTAGGGTTCCGGTGGGTTTGCTAAAATTAAAGGGTCGGAAAAATTATAAAACGATGACAAGGTACACTAGAGCATCGGCGCCAACACGCTCGGCAATGTGGCGTTTTCTAATTTTTTGGGTTTCTAATCTAAGCAGGGAGGTCGATAGATGTTTTCAGACTGAAATCGTAGATTAGAGAGCCGAAGAGGAGATAATCACATAAGGCATGAAGTGTGGATTGAGTTTTTATGGTTCAATGGTAGTGGCGATGGCTTAGGGTTTAGAGAGAGAAGGAAGAGAGATACAGAGAAGAGTGTGTAGAAGTGGGGTAGTTCAAAATTTTATAATTTCAGAGGATTTCATTTTCCTCCTTTAAAAACGCATGTTCCAGTAAAAAATTATAAAGTAACACTTGTAGATGACACACATTTAAGATAAGCGTCTTCCGTGTTTGTATTTTTTTTGGACATTAATTTTAGGGCACGCAAAAATGTGTGTCCTCTATCCTTCAAATTTTGCAAAACTGACATTGCTCTCACGGCATGATCTTAGTAAATATATGTATCAAGCAAGGATTCTACTCTTCTGCATACTAATCTTCTAGAAACTTGATCCTCACATCGTAACCTTAGTCCCCACATCAGGATCTTGGTTTTTCTGCTAAAATCATATTATTTTAAACTTTAATCCTCCAAAGTTCCAATGCTTGTCACCATGGTCCTTATTCTTCAAGAGTGTCTTTATTGGCTACACAATGTAAATTAATTCAATAAGTATCCCATATCTTTGTAATCAACAAAATTATTACTTAAATGTATTAAAATATTGCCTAAAATGTTTATAAATATGGCAATATCAGTTTGCTATCTTTTTTTTGAGGTAGATCATGTCGTGAGGTAAAAAGCTCACATCTTGATGCTCCATGATGCTAGATCTAGTTATATTGTTATTTTATGTTTTTTAAGTCCTTGGAGTGATTAATGAGCTTCTTGACTCACTCCAGAAGTATTGGTGTTAGATCTATGCTTCTTTTGGTCACCTTGCTCATAAAAATGCAAGATTTATGGTGTATCTTGGACCATGCATGTGTTAAGACCTTTGTTTAGCTCTTTTTGAGCTCTTGACCCCCATTAAGCTATGCATGTGTGTAAAGTTGCCAACTTTACGTGATAATTGGTCTTATAGAATCAGATCTGAGGGTTTGGCTTGAAGTCTCAATGGATTAAGTGCTTAATGAAGTGGGGTGGCCAACTGGGGAGTGTTTTGGGCATACCAAGCTGGTACGCTGCGGGTACTATCCCTAGAGGGTGTACGCTAAGCCTACGGGCTGAGTACGCCCTGCGTACTCAGCAGGTGGACTTAGGAGTTGGGCTTCTCGGTTTTGGGCCCATGTTTTGACCTTAGGAGATTAGGGTCTTGTCGGGCCATCAGATTTCTAGTTTTGGGATGATGTTAATATATTATATTTTTTTGGTTGAAGGCCCACAAAGGGATTTGGGCCCAATTTGGAAGATTGGGCTTTTGGGTGACCATTTTAGAATTAGGTCTTTTAAGTAGTTGGTTTGGGCCTTGGCCTTGGGCCAAATTAGGTAAAAGGTTAAATGGTGTCTTACCCTAGTTTAGACTCTTAGTTATGGGTCAGGATCCAATTATTAATTGGATGTTATTTTATGATCATAGTGCAGGGATTTTCGAACTAGTAGCCAGAGATTTATCTATGAGATTCGGCAGTTTGAGGTGAGTTTCCTCATTGTGTTTAGAGGGTCGAAGGCACCATTGCCAGCTCATGGTTTATTATGTTAGAATGCTAGACGTTTGTGTGACTCTTACATGTGTTATGCGTTTGTATGTATACCGAACGGGGCTCGATGTCTACATATTTATATGTTTATATGTGTATCGGGCGGGGCCTGATGATTGGCAGATCTATAAATCGAGCATGGTTCGATGTCGGGCAGGGCCCGAGGCTGGGTGGAACTCGATGTCGGGCGAGGCGTAATGAAGGGCGGGGGCCCATTATATGTTTATTATGTATGGTATGTGGTGGTTTGGGGAACTCAAAAAGGTTTATGCAAATGGTTTTCAGTTTATGTTTCAAGTACTTCTAGTTCAAAAAGGAAGAGTCGGGATGATTGCAGTGCACACACCACCTTATTCCGCATTTTGTGATTTACACTAATATTTCATGATGTAGTGATATACTTTGATCCATTTTGGTTTTATGATAATGTTATGGATTATCGTTTTATTAATTTAAAAAATAAATCATTAGGTCTTATTTTTTTGACGTTACAAGAACAATTCCTCAGAGGCATGTGTTTGAAGAACAATTCCTCAAAGGGTTAGAGAGACCCTCTGAGGAATTGCTCTTCAAACACATGCCTCTGAAGAATTGTTGTTCACATAACCATGACCAAAAAACAATTTTGGTAAGTTTTTTCGATTTCAAACACAATTTTTTCAAACGATTTCAGACACAATTTATTCGATTTTGGTAAGTTCAAACACAATTTTTTTCAACTTCAAACACAATTTTTTCGCAATACCCTTTCAATTTTGTTATGGTTTCTGTGTTTTACGAATTTACCCCTGCCACGTCACTTCCTAAAAGTTTTTCCAGTTCCTTAGGAGTTTCGCAGAAATCCTTTCTGCGGAACTCGTCGTCATTTTCTGAAGCATCTATTTTCCAGCTCCTTTTTTTTCCAAACACTGCCACTTTTTTGGTTATTTTATAAATTTTTTCCAGAAAAATGTCTAAATATAGTGGCTTTTTATATCATTAACCCTTAAAATAACCCTATTTCTTAATGATGTATGGTTGCAATGAAAGCGAGATGCAAGTATTGATAGGTACAAGACTACAAGTTGCGGCTAGTCCAATAAGTTAACAAAGTGTCTAACACGGAGTTACTAACAAGGAGGTCATGTGTTTTATTCGGACATATACTAACTAGCCGTTTAAAAAAAAGTATTGATCGGTAAGGATGGTATGGAGGCTTTATATATGTTGTTTGATATTATCTTTGATTAATCGTCCAGACAAGACCACAAATTACAACAATACTAGGTACGGGACATACACCCACTTCACCATACAAATAAACATATTATTAAGAACATATAAAATGAACTCTCTCTTAAAAGCGCATTAATTTTGGTAATCACGTATTGACAAAACATAGAAACTATAGTTTTGAAATAGCAAGTAACTTGTGTGCTTGAAGCACATCATTGTTGTTGTCTTGCACCAACATGCTATTTAGTTCTTCGACAAACTTCTCCATTGCGACACTCGGCAAACATATGGGTACCATGATTCCAGACTCACCCTTATGGTTTGTAAAAGTTACTAAAAAACTAACACCGGGGAAAGAACCTGCTCCCCCCTTGGCAACCCCTCCGTAGACCGCCTTTCCCCACCCGAAATCAACGTCATTTAATCTAGAACGAGTCACATCTGATACGATAAAGCTTCCAACAGCTGTGAACAGGGGTCGACCTTTGATAACCATTAGATCCGCATTAGATCTCACGTACTCTTCGGTGACATCATATTTGACCTTCCTCACCAGCTCCAAGGCGTGAGCTAATGGCTTTTTACATAGTTCTCGAGCTGTAGAAATGGCACATGGCATGACGAAAGTATTTCCATAATATCCTGTAGGGATGATGGGTGGATTAAACCTGTAACGTGCATTCACGAGGCATATGATGCGCATCTCGTCTTCCGGATCAGGCTGGAGAACAATGGTACGACAGCGCCAGAGGCAAGCTGTTAGTAGTTCAAAGGTGGTACAACTTTGTAGTTCTACTGGAACAAGCCTACGTAAGGCTGAAAGCTCGGTAGGGCCAAAGAAAAATGACTTATGTGTGATGTCATCCTGCTGGATGATTGTACCCTTGGCGTCTTCAATGTTATCGTACTCGCGATGAGCATATGTTACACGTGGTGGCTCCCTTGCAAAGAGCACATCCCTTTCCCACACGGGTAATGTTGAGGGTGTTGATGCTCCCTGTGCCATTTCCCCTAGGGCAGTCAAGAATTGGACGAGTCCCGGTGCATCGCTCATAGTGTGGTTGAGTCGTAGTGAAAAGACAAATCCGCCACATAATAGTCGTGTTACCTACCAATCAAACTTTTATAATGATTTTATATTCATCTAAACAGCTAGAAGTTGTTGTATTCCTTTTGAATCTGTTACTTATATATATATATTAAAAATATGTTAATATTAATTTCAAATAATTAATATATTTGTATGTTCGAAAAATATGAAGTGGTTACGTGTTAGCTAGTAACTAGGTTGATTACGTGAGGACCAGCTTTTAAAATAGTAGATTTACATTTATGTGAACGGCATAATTGCAAAATGAAGATTGGGACAACTGAAGTTGATATCAATTGAGAGACATGTTATATAGGTTCAAGTCAACAATGAAAATACTTGATTTAATTTGAGGAATCCACTCATTTTCTCTTCGTTGATATTATTAGAAACGGTTGTTTCTACCAAAAACGACATATGAAATTTCACCTGAATCAGCAGCAATGGTGAGTCGAGGATGCCATCAGACCCAGGAACATCATAAAGGAGCTCATTCATACAAGGAAAAGGAGGCATAAGCGCGTCTCCCAATTGCTTCAAAGTAACATCCGCGTCGGCCTCAATAAACAACACACCATCACCGGAGCAATCAACCATCAGCTTCCTTGCCGGACCTTCTTTTAGCCTGCCAGCAAAGGGGTAGTAGAACACCAGCACTTTGGCCAAAGCTTCCCTGATCACACTCGCCGGATTCTTGTTTCTCATTTTTGGGTCCTGACGATAAATATAAATCAGCGGGATGTGAAAACGAAGTCCTTCCTGATCGTCAATATCGGAGAGAGGCTTCAGTTCTCGAGGAGTGGGTTGTGCTGGACGAATTAATTCCGGTGCATGTCTCCGAACAGTGAAGATTGTTTGTGAGATGCCTCCAAACAACATTTTACCCATTCACTTGATTTCCAGGAACAAATACAATATAAATCTTCAAGATTTAATCTGTTACCTCAAACTTAAATAGATCAAAATTAACCGTTCCTAGGTTACAGATAGAGTTGCGTAATGACTCCAGTTAAACCTCACAAGAGTGTTACAAACTAGAAAGATTTGAGTTTTTTATTTAGTTTGAAGTAAAGCATTTTATAATTCATTTGTCGAAATGAGGTGGGGACAACCAAACTGAGTTAGTCACTTTTTTAACTCACCCTTACATCACAATTAAAATGTGATAAATATTCATATTTGTTTACTCACCCTTACACAGCAAAAATGGATCTTCCTCCTTTATTTTTCAATTAGTTATAAGATTCATATATTACATAGATTTATTTTAAAATAAAATCAATAAAAAATTTGAGAAGTTGAATTTATAAGATAAGTGAAAAAATATTGAATTACAAATATAAAAACGTTTTTTTTTTTCTTTTAAATTTTAACAAATAATTTAGATAAATAAATAAAGAAAATTAATGAACCTTTAATTTAGTAATATGAAATTAAAAGAAAAGTGCATTAATAAAATTGATATGTATTTATTAGAGTAATGGTCCCTGTGGTTTAGTGTAAATTACACGCTTGGTCCCTAACTTATTTTTCTAACTCGAACTGTCCTCAACTTTTAATTATGTAACCCGCCACGTCCCTATTCTCACATTCCGTCAATTATTTCCGTTAGACACCCCACGTGCCTTGCACGTTGGGGGTATAAAAGTCTTTTCACATATCCAATGTTATACCGCCAAGAAAAAAAAAGGACGTATCGTTGATCAACGTGATCAGACACAAGCTTCACAGACAAAACCTTTGAAAACCCTTGATCGAAAGAACCCTACATTTGAAAACGACGATGGTGCCTTGGAGGATACGTGCTACCATGGACAAGATTGACGTTGCTCGTAAATATGGTAAGTGTTTACTCCCTCAATCAGTTAGTAACTTAAAAAGAAAAATGTGACTAACCAATCTTTCCGTGAATATACAGCCGGACATCCGACGATATTCTCTGTCCGATTACACCATGGTGGACAGTTTACAAAGTTCCCTGGAAGAAAGTACATCAAAGGCAAGCAAAATTATGTTGATTTACTAGACATTGACACCTTTTCCATTCACGACATTGACGAGATGATGGAGGAACTTGGGCATATTGATTCAGACGAAACACTACTCTATTATCATTTCCTGAGACCATTTGGCGATTTGGATTTTGGGTTATTTGCTTTGGGTTCAGATCAGGATGTTCATCATCTGGGTACGTATGTTGCTAACCATAAGCTAATAGATGTATATATTGAGCATGGGAAAACAAATTTACATACTTATTCTATGTCCCCCAACCCTAGTAAGGTTAAAATTGTTGAAATTAAAGAGCCACCAGCTTGCTCCAAACAGTTGTTCTTGGAGTGGAATGACTCTCCAATTGAGCATGAGAGTGTTCCAGACCTAACAGAAGTTGAGAATGATAGTCATTTGGACAAAGAACCATCTTTGGTCGACCATATTGAATTTGAAATGAATGTAGAGAATGAGGATGATTATGATGGTAGTGGACACAACAATGGCAGTGGAAATGATGAGTTTGATGATGATAGTGAGAGTGAAGATAGTGATTTTTTTATTGATGAGGACAATCTCATACACGATGTTGATGTGGATATGAAATATTTCCATATGAACATTGACAAGGATGTATAATGGGTTGGAGGTTCTTCTGAAAGTAATGTACCTGAAGATACACAACAAGGTGACTTAGAAGTGATCAACACAGAGGTTTTGTTGTCTGGGTCTTCATCAGATGAGGCAAATGATGGTAAGCGAAGGAAAACTATTAGGGCCATATAGAGGGCTTATGAAAATGATGCAGCTTTGGTTAGTGAGCCCTTATACATTTTTCAAACTTTCAGTTCATCTAAGGACTTTAAGACACAAGTGAAACTACATTCCATAAGGACAAGAAGGGAAATACAATTAGAGAAAAATGATAAGAATAGGGTTAGGTTTGTGTGTAAGGGCACTATACCAAATCTTGCTACTAATGAAGAAGAGAAATGCCCATGGGTTATATATTGTAGTAATTGGAAGCGTGACATAGATTGGATGGTTAAGACATACACGAAGGAGCATCAATGTCTACAAACAAGGAAAGTCAAAGCATGTGAGTATAAGTTCCTTTCAGAGCATTTAGTACAAGTTATTGAGACAAACCCAAAGATTCCTATTAGGGCTTTACGAGAGCAACTCCAACGTGAGTACCAGATGGACATTTCGCATATGAAAACTTTTAGGGCAAAGCAGCAAGCTTTAAAGCATGTTCAAGGAGATTATGCCGGCCAATACAGGTTGTTAAGGGATTATGTTTTAGAGGTACAAGCACGTAACCCAGATACTACGGTTAAAATTGATGTTGAAAGTGAAGCGAATCCAACTGTTGAGACAAGAACATTCAGGCGTATCTATGTTTGCATTGGAGCTTTGAAGTGAGGTTTTGCAGCGGGAAGAAGGGACTTTCTTGGACTTGATGGAGCCTTCGTGAAAGGTCCATATCCATGCCAAGTTTTGTCTGCTGTGGTATGATCTTCTTATTTCTTTTTGTATTGTATGTTCTTTATTTTAAGTAGTGTGAACTGACCAATGTTTTCTGGTAATTTATGTTTCTTATCAAAGGCATTGGATGGTAATAATGGGATATATCCTTTAGCCTATGTTGTGGTTGAATCAGAAACATTGAATTCTTGGACTTGGTTTTTAAGTAATTTGGGTGATGACTTAGGTTTGGGAACAAATTCCAATTTCACGTTTATGAGTGACAGGCAAAAGGTATTGGAACCTATCCAAACTAGGTTTTATAGTTTTATACTATTGATGCAGTTATACTAACATACAAACATGTTACTATTGCTAGGGTTTGTTGCCTGCGATTGCAACACTATTTCCATGTGCAGAGCATCGCTATTGTCTTCGTCACATACACGACAACATGAAAAAGAACTGGAGGGGAAAGGTGTTCAAGGATCTTCTTTGGGAATGTGCCACGACCTCTAATGTACAACACTTTCATCAAGCAATGGAAAAACTAAAGAAGCTTAACAATGATGCTTATGAGTGGCTGAAACAAATACCTCCTCAAAGTTGGGCTCGCTCCCACTTTACTGGTATAATGACTTTCGATCTCTACTTAATAATTTTAAAAGAAGGTAAATTGAATACTGACATAGAATTTGTTTATGTTCAGGGAGAGCACATTGTGATGCTCTAACTAATAACCTGTGTGAAGCATTCAACAGCAAGATAGAAGATGGTCGTGATGCACCAATTATTAACTGCATTGAGTTCATCAGAGAGTACATTATGAAGAAGATAGTCAAAGTTGACAAGGAAATTCAGAAAGTTGTAGGTCCTTTGACTCCTACAACTACAACAATATTGGATAAGATAAAGAGTAAGGCAGAACAGTATGTTGCAACATTTTGTGGTGCTGGAAAATATCAAGTTGCTGGACCATGGCAAGATCAGTGTATTGTGGATGTAGGTCAACAAAGTTGCACGTGCAAAAGGTGGGAATTAACAGTAATTCCGTGCAAACATGGTGTGGCTGCTATTTGGGACATGGGGAGGAATAACAAAGATGTGGGAATCCCAGAATCATTTGTGCATCCATGTTACTGGTTATCAAGCTGGAAAGAGATGTATTCTTTTAAGGTTAGTCCAATCAATGGAAGGTCCATGTGGGAGAAGTCAGCTATACCAACAACTATGTTGCCTCCAAAACATCGTGTTCCCATAGGAAGACCAAAGAAGAAGAGAACAATATCAATTGTGGAAAAGGAGGACTTTGTTAGAGGAAACACAGCATCGAGGGCCCATAGATCAGTAACATGTACGAAGTGTAACAATGTTGGTCACAATGCAAGAACCTGCAAAGGGCAAAGACCAATTGTTGGTGGGGGTGGTGGACAATCACAAGTCAAAGGAAAAGGGAAAGGGAAGGCAACCACTTGATGGTTTGTAATAGGGCTAGTCTTTTGTTACTTTAAATATGAATGGATTGTGTTATGTTGCTGCTTGTAATAGGGCTAATACTTTGGTACATTATTTATGAATAGTTTGTAATAGGGGCAGTATTTTGATACTTGTTTTAGCCAATATGTTGGCACTTTTGGATGAACTAGTTCGTCATCCTCATTGCCCTTTAATAGTTTGGTACTAATTAATGGAATGTTTTCTTCTTATGATACACCATTGGGTAGATAATAATTTGGTTTATATTGATTTTTACATTTATATTTTCCATAATAGTTTGGTACTAAATTAGATTGTTATATTCTTCTTATGATGTCACCCTCATTGCCCTATTATAGTTTGGTACTAATTAATGGTCAATATGTTGCTTATATATCACTTTAAAACATAGTCAATACAACATTGCTACAACCATTACAGTACATTTGCATTACAATACATAGACAACCTAACCAATACATAAACACCATTTTCATTGATCTTAAAAATCTTAACCATCTACATTACAATACATAGACAACTTAACCATTATAGAAAAGGATACCTTCACATTCACTGCTACAACCTAACCATTACAGATAATGATACCATCACATACATTGCTACAACCTAACCATTACAGAAGACTTTACCATTACAATAACAACTCATCCCCACCTTACAACTTGTAAACAAGTATCACCAAGAACAATACCCAACTAATAAATAAACATATTTTCAAGAAAAGATTTTCATTTTTCAGCTTCTTGTTCAACCTCACAAACCAGGAGATTGTCAATCTGTCACCATGATCCTTTTCATCATCATCTACCTAAGCAATAAATCCTTTACGTGGTTCCTGTCAATTTCAAAAGCCACGGTTACAATACCTATAATCGCATACAGTGATATCCCCATCTAGGGTTACGATTACAAAATTCTCAACTACAACATACCTTAATTGGACATGCGTAAAAGGGTCTTCCTGGATTATTGTTAGTAGTTGAAGTCCGAATTACAGCAGCACGCCCACAATCGCATTGAACCATCCTTGGTTTGAAGGAGATTAGGTGTAACCGCTTCAAACGATGGAGGATTGAAAGAAACTCTAAATTAGGTTCGATCCTGATGAAAAATTAGTATTTGAAGATCGTTGGAAATGTGAAAAGACTTTTATACCCCCAACGTGCAAGGCACGTGGGGTGTCTAACGGAAACAATTGACGGAATGTGAGAATAGGGACTAGGCGGGTTACATAATTAAAAGTTGAGGACAGTCCGAGTTAGAAAAATAAGTTAGGAACCAAACGTGTAATTTACACTAAACCACAGGGACCATTCGCGTAATTTACTCTATATATTATTATATTTAAATACTATTTGGATTTTAATAAAATGAAAAAACACATATAAAATAAAAATTATTTTAAAATAATTATAAAATTATATGTAGCAAAACAAATAAGAATGTTACATATAAAATATATATATATATATATATATATATATATATATATATATATATATATATATATATATATATATATATATATATATATATATATTAAGGGGATGTGTTCTCATTGGAGGTTCTGCGGGCAAAACTTCTCGTGGACCCGATGTACAACTTGAAAAACCTTCGTACCATGTTTTTCAAATGTGATAAATATTCATATTTGTTTTTCTCCTTCGGTCCACAGTACTATGTTGTCCAGCCCCACTTTTATGGCACGCCTAATTCGTTTTTTTTATTTGATCCACACAAGCTTCTTTCATTTCAAAAGGCGAATGTAATCCATTTGTGAAAGGATGTCTCATTCAAATTTAGGTACACATAACAGTTCTAATGTCAAAAACCAAGTAAATGATGCTTAATTCTATGGAGATTACTTCATCTTGTTATTAAACCCCCAACAATTATAAAGATCCGATAGAATTCACTCTATGATGTTGTTAACATGCACAAATAAATTGAGGTTGAATTTTAAGATATATATATATATATATATATATATATATATATATATATATATATATATATATATATATATATATATACACACACACACACACACACACACACACACACGGGAAAAGAGAATATATGGTTATGGATTGTCGTCTATTGTGCTGACGTGTGAACAATGCTATTCTGTGATAATGACAAAAAAATATGTTGTTTGATAAAATGAATGTGTTTAATCTTACATAAATGTTGTCATTATTACGTATTCTTACTAATTAAATCGTTTACAAGATAACTAGACTTTTTTTTTATTATTCTCATATGGTCATAATCAAGACTTTTTTTTATTATTCTCATATGGTCATAATCAGGGGCGGACGTAAAATTTCATAGTAATGGGTGCACGAGAAAGTTAGGGGTTGCATAATAGCAGAAAAAATAAAAAAATTTTAAATTTTCGAAAAATTTTCCACTGTAGCCGGAAAACTTAGGGGTTGCCATTGCCACCGATGATCCCCCCTAAATCCGCCCCTGGTCATAATGTTTTATTGATTCGTATTCTATAAGAATAAAAATGAGCGAAAAAAGATGCATGAGAAAAAAAATGAATAAGAATTAGTGAGAATGCATAAAAATGATGATAGTTGTGTGAGGTTGAACGTATTCACATTAATAAACAACTTATTCTCTTAGTAATTATCATAGAATAACATTGTAATTAATTGGTCTTGAATTTTAGGATGTTACACTTCCAGTTTTGTAAATCTAAAATGGAGATACCAATTAATTACAATTAATTTTTTTTCTTCAAGTAGATCAATTATAAAACCAATAATTTCAGAGTGTATTCTAATTCCATGAAAGAAATTCGAAAGAAACAAAATTAACTTTTAGTAATTTTCAAGTGATCAATTCTTATGCATTATGGGTTTGTAACTTTGTACTAATTTTTGTCCATTGTGTGTATGGTACAGGACATGCATAATACCATGGGTTTAGAATTTCAAGTACCTGAGGAGCCATTACAAACATATGCAACTTATGTTGATGCTAATGAGCCATTACAAACAGATGCGTCTTATGTTGATATTGATGTTAACCTTTTACATGATGGAGATGAAAATAATGATGAAGGTATCATGGGAAAGATTTTTGATACGCCTCATGATGCATATACATTTTATAATCAATGTTCTTTTTTACATGGATTTGGTATACGTATTCATTAGGCCTATAAAAATAAGACAACAAATGAGGCTTACCGTAAGATGTATGTTTGCAACAAAGAAGGGTTCAAAATATTGAAGGCTAATAGCTCATGTGGATATGCAAAGAAACATCATAGAAATTGAAGGACCAGATGTAAAGCAATGCTTCGGATTTCAAAATGGAAAGGTGGAAAATGGTTTGTAGGCATGTTTAATGATGCACACAATCATGAGTTGAGTATTACACCAACAAAAGTAATGAAACATCATTCTCACGGAAAGTCTCATCGTTCGTTGGCATGTAAATCTCTTATGGTGGAACTTGGTCAATCAGGGTTATATCCTTTACAAATCAAAAAGGTCGTTAATGCAATGAAAGCTCCATTTGTCACACCCCCAAACCAGACGGCAGAAAGGTCCGGGGGCGGGTGACTTCATCTTGTAATATCATCACGGTGTATATAATTGAATCAGGGGGCGGGTGACTTCATCTTGTAATATCATCACGGTATATATAATGGAATCATAGACAACATCATCACCATAAATGAAATATAACAACCATCATAGTTTTACATGAATGTGTTTGTTCACAATTTAAATCACAACATGTTAAATGAATGATGAAAACAAAAATACAACAAAAGTCCGCATTTCTTTGATGACCGACCTGATTAACGAGTCCTTGAGAATACAGGTTATTTTGAAAACATCAACATATATAATGTTGGTGAGTTCATAAGCATGTTTGTATGAAACGTTTTGCATCACTTTGTAAACACCAGAAATCCGATATTTCCGTAAAAATGGTTTGAAAGCTTTGTTTCAAATATATTGTATTAAAGCATGTGTGTTCTTATTTGGTAGTGTAAAAAGAGTGTTTCCCAGAAAATCCGATTTTTTCTGTTTGTAAAAGTGAAGTGGTCTTAAAACCCTAAGACCCAAGTAATGAAGTAAATGTATAGTTCGTACAATGTATCATGAGTATAGTATATGCATTCTGTAAATTTATTTGTTTGCTATTCCCTATGTGAGTCATTATAACCATACTTGATATGACTGATATGCCTGTGATGACATTCTTCAGGCATCGGTTAGGTAAGACATTTGTCACCGTAGACTGGCATGTCTAGCTGTAGCGAACAGCTCGGGTGCAGGGGTGTCAACCCCGTATAGATCTATACATAAATTCTCGCTCTCCCTCCAGGAGACTTTGGTTATAACTGATGGGTTTTGGTCATAAGACATCCTATGTGCTCATACAAACCCTAATGCTTGGATCTAGGTTTCTCTATTGTACATGCTTTGAATCCAAGACCATAAACCCTAATTCTAACATATGGAAATCGACATTAACATATAATTAGGTTTAAGAAAATACCTTGATTGTTATATAGCAATAACAATCACAACTCCACCTTGGATTGACTTTGGAATGCTTAGAGTCACAAGTGTCACTCCTCTAATGGCTTACAAACACCATAAGCAAATGGATAAGGTATAAAGAGAGAGGTGAGATGTTAGAATTCGTATCAAGGACCTCTTGGGAAGGGATACCCAAATTCATGACCCTAGGGGTGTTTATATAGGTGTAGAGATAGGGTTTCAGTCATTATCCTTATCTAGTTGATTATCAGCAACCAATAAGATAATCCTTGAATCCTTATCATACTCGAATTCTAAGGCTTTCCAACCTTAAATTCGTCCACCATATAAATAAGATAATCCTTACCTTATTTTGTAAATATCACATAATTACAAATCAGCCCCCTCTAGTTTAATTAATTACATTTGATCACAAAACTAATTCTTAATTAATTATTGACCAATATTAATTAAACAAATATGATTTCTCCTTTAATATATTATTCTTATAACATATTAATAAATCATATTATCCTCTCTCTCTTTATTCATTTCTCCAATCAAGTTGCTTTGGTGAAGGCAACCCAAAAGGACCATGCACCATCGGGTCAAGTACATACCAAAATAGTTATGGACTTAGACACTAATCCAACAGTCTCCCACTTGGATAAGTCTAACAACTATTCTGCGTATGACTTCAGATCCTGATCTGCAATCGTAGCTTTCCAAAGCCGCTGTCAACTCTGATCATATCAGATATGCGTGTCCTTAGATAAGGGATCATATATTCCTCCATTCTAGATATCGTATGAGATATGATTTCAAATCATTCTCTTTGTACTATATCTCGATTTCCGATTTATGACGACAGACTAATTGAACAAATCAAATTAGCCCTAGCCCGGCCGAGCATTTACGCATGTCATCACTAAACCATCAAGGGGCCCAAAGATATCGCTTTTATTCTTTGAATAAAAGGAACGGATAAACTTTGATACAATGCTTGCTTGCACTCACTAACCAAATCACACACAACAATATGTTTTATAACACCAAGTTACTAGTGTGTTTACATATTATCAATGTGCAACCGATTCGCAAGATACAACTCACACATCTCGGTTTCAAGAATATAAGATGTTATCGTCTCACCAATCACTCGTAATACAATTCATGGAGTAAATCCAAGTGAGCGCGGGTTTAATCCAATGCTCAAATCATATTCATAAGCACTCATGAACGTTGCAGCAAACATTTGCTTATGTCTAATGCTCTTTAGACAATCCACACACCAATTCATGACAGTCTTCATTCATATCTACTTCCAACATATGAATGACTGTGGCCCGTTCGAATAATTCGATTATTCTTAATAAACTCAATTATTCTGGAAGTCAAAACATGCAAATTGAAACACAAGAATAATACTAATCCCATATGGCCTCAACCCTTTGAGTATAAATAAAACTCCTTTTATTTATCACCATATCGATTACTCATTATTTGTCGTTTCGGGTAATCAACTTATTACTTGAATTATTACACTTGTCCCATGCTCCTAGCATGCACACAATGTTTACCTATGGTTCTTACTTTTGTGAAATAGACAAATTGAACACATTTCCAATCATTCTCATTTTACAACTCCAAATCCATTTTCTTAAGTGTAAGAATATCAAATTCTTGTTACTTATAGAATATACTAGATTCTAACACTTTATGCAACGATCCTTTTGTAATGTCACTGCACCAAAGTCTCAAAGACTATTGCCAATGATATTACAAAGTCCTCTAACGTAGATTGTTGCAAGACAATTCCTTAGATATGATGTCTCTCACTCAAAGTACATTCCTTTGAACATCCTTTTGCATAAAAGTTTCTAATCTAGACATAGATTTTCAATATTCAATTCCCAATATAGATACATTTCCATATTTTCCATATGACAACTTATTTTTTAATAGAATCTTATCTATTCCTAATAATGTCGATATGGTCCATCCAATATGGAAACATTTCCATAATTTCCAATACTATACTTCCAACTACTCACAAGCGATCAATCCTCGTCGAACTTTGGATTGTCCTTTGATAGTTGTTTAATTATTTTAGTCAAAACCGATTCTAGTCCCTTTTCCCTCTCAATGCGCTAGACATTTGGAAAATTTTAGAATGGTCATAACATTAAAGCATTTGCAATCGATCCTATACCGGAAGCGTATGGGACACGACGCATAATGTTTTATTTGCTATGTTCTCAAAATTCGAATTGTGAAGAGGAATGCCGTAATCATAATCGAAATTTTAAGAACACACTATGAAACGACCGAATTTTCACATCAAATTTTTTTTTTTTAAAAACGTTACTTTAGAAAATATTAATAGCTAAAACATCATTCGATCATCCATAATATAAACTGAACCATGTCCGAACACCAAAACATACAACTAATCAGAATATCAGAGTATCAATCCCAGAAAAGCTCGTAAATGCGGAAACCGAAGAGGGTGTGTGTGACATGCTGCTACCGCGCCGGCTCCTTTCCCCTAGCTGAGGAGGTACCTGAAACCAAAATTGAAACCGTAAGCACAAAGCTTAGTGAGCTCCCCCATAATATCCCATACCATACAAGCATCTAACAAATAACATGCAATTAGGAGATACGAGCCCCATCCACACTCGTGAAGATACGGGCCCCGCCCACACCTCACTTTCTGAGAGATACAGGCCCCGCCCACACTCGTGAAGATACGGGCCCCGCCCACACTTCGCTATCTGGGAGATACGGGCCTAGCCCACACTCCATTCTCGGAGAGATACGGGCCTCGCCCACACTCAACCGCCAACTCATATCATACAAGTATCACACAGACAACAAGTGTAAACAATTCTATCTTACTGGCATATATCATAATCAACTCAACTAATAGATACGGGCTCGGCCCACACTATAATACTAACGTCTCATCTATACGGGCCGGCCTTCGTGCCTTAGACCCGTTACTACTGGAAGGAAACTCACCTCGAAATAGCTGCTGGTCTGTGTGGGAATTGATCACCTACTACTACTGCTGCTGCTTCGGAAACTCCCTGGCTGTAATGCCCACAATATACTTAATCATATACTGCTAACTGTCCTTTGGGTAAAAAGACCATTTTACCCCTGGTCTCGCCCTAAGTCAATTCGAAGTCAACTTTTAGTTGACCCAACTCGCCGAGTGGATCTCCACTCGCCGAGTCCCTGTCCAGACTATTGTCCTGGGTCCCTGATTCTACTCGTCGAGTTGGGCTATGACTCGACGAGCTCATCTTCTAATCTATCATTCAACTCCTTCATCCTACTCGCCGAGTTGTATGAACAACTCGTCGAGTTCATCTTCATCCGAAGAACACATATGCTAAGACTCGCCGAGTTGTATGAACAACTCGCCGAGTCTGTTCTTGATCTATGAAGATTGCCTTGGACTCGCCGAGTCAGGGCATTGACTCGCCGAGTCCTAACATGGGTGAGTTCAGCTCCCAACTCACCGAGTCACCCCCTGTGACTCACGGCTCAACTCGACACACCATGAAGGGACCAGTCCAGTGACTCGCGACCAGACTCGTCGAGTCACATATACGACTCGCCGAGTCGCAGCCATGCATCCATCAAATACGCCGATTTGCTCAATTCCAGTCCATGCCATTCACAGATCTGGGCTTCTAGGACACAAATCACACGTAAAGTTTCCAACTTTACGTGTAGATATTCACCAATATGGATTTTAAGGCTCAAAGTGCACCAAAAGAGGTAGATCTAGGGCTTTCATGCAATATGACCCCATAAAGGCATTAGATCCAAGTTCCAGGGACTAGATCATGCCTAGATCTAAAGGCTAACAACTTATTACAACCCACAAAGCACAAACAAGCTTGGGGAAGAGCCCAAGAAGGACTCCTATGAAGCTAAAAGAGATTACAAGCTTGAAAACAGAGGGGAAACGAGCTATACCTCAAGGAAAACGTTGGGATGACACAAAGATGCCTGGTCTCCTTCTCCTCTTCTTGATCTACTCTTCTTTCTCC